AATTTTTATTTTTATAAATTTTATAAATTTAATTCTTAATTTCATCATAAACTTTTTTTGGCGATTTAGTAAAAAGTTATACAATTAACATGATTTGGTGATTGTGGCAAATTTATACGATGATGTCATATACCGAAACTGTAAATTAAACACGCATGGTATAAATTATAAAGTCTACAGATTGCAGCTAACATTATACAGAATCTGAGAACTAAAAAAAAATGGAAATGGCGAGCTTCGACTAAAACTTGAACTTGAAATTTAATGGTGTACATTCATTATATTCATTCATTATAGTTTTAATCAAAAAAATTAAGCCTAAATCGTTTTTTTAAACATTTTTCAAAATATAAACACAACTTGTCTCGGCAGTTGGGGATCTCTTTAAGGTTCTATTCTTAATCTTGTTTCGTGTATTATCTACATTATTGATCTTCCTGATAACTTTACATTTAAAATTTTTTTTGATGACCTAATTTTATACTCCTGAGTTGATAAAAACTTTATTCTATTGCCTAGAACAAGCAGCCAATCTTAAATTGGATCTCAGGTAGAATTCATTCTCGCTTGTCATTCAGCAAAGTTTTGAAAACTAGATAAATTTTATTTTATCTAGTTTTTTTCCCCCGCACCAAAACCCTCCAGAACTCTTCCCGATCTCATGCTTTCCTCACTCATACAAGCTAGAACATTTCAAGTTTTCTGTCAACCGTTTCCTTGCTCTAAAACTCTAATCTTTTTTTTTAAAGTAAAATACCAACTTAATAGATGTTGTTTGCAGCCTTGTTGGGAGTGAAACACATTGTTTTTATTATTCTATATAGTAGACAATTTTATCTTTACCTTTTATCTTTTTTTAATTCTTGCCTTGAATTAATCGTTATATTTATGGATAATTGAGATCAATCTTGCTACTGGTATCACGTAACTCAGTACCACCTGCCACAAGCCCTGCTGCCTTGCAGAATGTGCTCTTCTTAGGCGAAGGCTAGGAGAAATAAACTCCGACTAAAAATTCCCCTGCCTTGGGGCTCTCAGTTGAGTAAAGGCTGGTGTCTCGATAAAAACACTCATCTTGGGCAGATGTTAACTGCATCCAGCTAAACATCCCCTGCCTTGGGGCTCTTGGTTAAGTAAAGGCTAGAGATGGTGTCTTGATAAAAATACTCATCTTGGGCAGATGTTAACTGCATCCAGCTACTGTCTTGTAGAAGGCCTCCTAGGCAAAGACTTTAGGGGTAAGCAGAAAAATTCTGCTAACCAGCTTCGAACCCCTTCTTCATCTATTAGGCTGGCGTAGATGTAACCTGTGTTACATTGTTTCCTGCCTAGGATGATGAATGCTGGATCTCCTTGACTCTACTCATAGAATTTTGCTTATGCCTCCTTGATAATGGCTATGCAACTCTTCCTGTTATCTCCATATGAGGGTACAGCTCTAAAACTCAGTTTAATGGTTCTGAGGCCGGCTGGTAGTAAGGTTTCCTGAACTCTGTGGTAGCTCTCAGAGAGGCTGATTCCATCAACAGCTGCAAAAAATCAGAGTATTAATAGTGCCATGTTGCGCATGGATCGTGTCCCTGTTAATGCTTTTGGTGTGCATTGTCAAGGCCACATAATGAGCCCTATGTCACGGCTTAGGGTTAATTAACAGGACTGAGACAACTGCATAGCTCATTGATTAGGAGGCTGTGCTCTATCTATGAAAGAGTCAAGTTCTCATTAAACCCAAATCATGACCAAAGTAACCAAAAATATAAAACCTAAAAAACCATCCCCACCACCTAAATATTTTAATATATCTTTTACAAATATTCGCGGTCTACAAAGCAACTTTCCATCAGTTGAGTCTTACCTCCTGCCAAATTCACCAGACTTGCTTGCACTTAGTGAAACAAATTTAAATTCTGCAATTCCTTTTTTAGATGTCAGTGTTGATGGCTACTATCCTTTGATTTGTAAAGATTCAAACAGTCACATGCTAGGTTTAGGGGTATATATATGCATTAATTCCCCTATTTGTCGTGAAATCAGGTTCAAATCCTTTGACCATTCTTTTATGTGCTTTCGCCTAGCACCTCCTCACTCTATCACCTTTCTCTTTTTTCTTTATCATTCTCCTTCTTCCCATGATTGCACTCTCTGAAATGTTATCTCTGATCAAATTGACCATGCCCTCTTTCTTTACCCCTCTGTAAATATTGTTGTTGGTGATTTTAATGCCCATCACACTGAATGGCTTGGCTCTAACACCACTGATCCTGCTGGCACTAAAGCCCTTAACTTCTTCGTTTTTCAATCTCTTACTCAGATAGTTAACTTTGTGACTCGTTTTCCTGACAACCCTAATCATTTACCTTCACTCCTTGACTTATGTCTTGTCTCTGACCCTAGCTTCTCCCTTTTCTCCCTTAGATGGTTCTGACCATGCAATGATCTCTATAAATCTTTCTTCTCATACTTCTTTTTTGGGCTCACCTTATCATCGCACCATCTACTACTACCCTAAAGCTGACTGGGATTCCTTTCGTGATTTTCTTGGTGATGGTCCTTGGGCTGATGTTTTTTCTCTCTCAGCTGACAAATGCGCCTCTATGTAACCTCCTGGATTCAGGCTGGAATGGAAGCTTTTGTTCCTTCGCGTCGGTTTCAAGTCATACCTCATTCTACCCATGGTTTTCTCCCTCTTGTGCAGCTGCTATATCCAATCGTAATCATTTTTTTCATCTTTTTCAAAAGAACAACTCTCTTGAGAACAAACGGCTATTTATTATTGCAAGAAATTGATGTAAAAAGGTGCTTTCTGATGCTAAACTCCATTATTCTCAGTTCACTAAATCTCCCATCTTATCGCAGAAGTTAGGCTCTAAAAACTTCTGGAAAATCTTCAACAGCATTATTAACAAGGGTAGATCTAACATTCCAACTCTCATTCATGGGACTGATCTTATTACCTGTCCCAAGGATAAGGCAGAACTAATTGCAAAGAACTTTTTCTCTAATTCCACTCTTGAATCTTATGGACATTCTCTTCCTTCCATTCCAATCAAACAGGTTGACCCATTGTTAGACATTCAAATCACTCCGGCTTCTGTTGCTAAAGTCATATCTCAATTAAACTCGTCTACAGCTTATGGTCCAGACAACATTCCTGTCACAGTCTTGAAGAATTGTTCTCCAGAACTTTCTTTAATTCTCTCTAAACTATTTAACAAGTGTTTGACTGAGTCTTGTTTTCCTGCTTGTTGGAAAATGGCATCTGTGGTTCCAATATTCAAAAACTCTGGAGAAAATTCTGACTCTTTAAATTATTGTCCGATCAGTCTCCTTTCTGTTATTAGCAAGGTCTTTGAGTCTTTCATCAACAAATTCCTCACATCTTATCTTGAGTCAAATAAACTACTGTCAGACAATCAATACGGTTTTCGATCCTCTCGCTCTACGGTTGACTTGCTAACTGCTGTAACTGAAAGATTTTATTGTACATTAGATGGGGGCGGTGAGACTAGGGCTATTGCTCTCGACATATCTAAAGCTTTCGACAAAGTTTGGCATGCTGGTCTTCTCCATAAGCTTGCTTCATATAGTGTTTCTGGGAAAGTTTTTGAGATTATCAAATCATTTCTTTTTAACAGATTTATTAAAGTCATCCTTGAAGGCCAAAACTCTTCTTTATTCCCAGTAATTTCTGGGGTTCCCCAAGGTTTCATCCGGGGCCCTGTTTTGTTTCTTATTTACATAAATGATCTTCCTGACAACCTTTCATCTAAAGTAGCTCTTTTTGCTGATGACTCAACTTTATACTCCTGTCTTGACAAAAAGTCTTCTCTTTTCGATCGCGTAGAACAAGCAGCTGATTATGAATCTGATCTCACTTCAGTAATAAATTGGGGTTCACAGTGGCTTGTGAATTTCAACTCTAACAAAACCCAGTTGTTTACTGCAAACAACTACCGTAATATGGTCAACATTCCTATATTAATGAATGGCAATCCTCTTACTGAGTCCTCCTCTTTACGTCTTCTTGGATTATAGCTTACTACTGACCTTTCATGGAAACCATATATACAATCAATTGCTCAATTAGCTTCTGCTAAGGTTGCTTCTCTTTATCGTGCTCACCATTTCCTTACTTCTGATTCCATTCTACCTCTACAAATCTCGTATTCGTCCCTGTATGGAATACTTTAGTCATATTTGGGCTGGTTCTTCTAATAATTCACTTTCTCTTCTTGACAAGGTCCAGAAACGCATTGTAAATGTTGTTGGACCTGGACTATCTGCTAAGCTTGAACCTCTTTCCCATCATCGTAAAGTTGCATCTCTTTCTCTTTTCTACAAATACTATCATGGTCACTGCTCAAAGGAGTTATCATCTCTAGTTCCATCAACTAAAATTCATTCTAATTTCACTCGTCATTCAGCTAAGTCTCATTCGTTTACTGTATCTGTCCCTGCATGCTCTAAAAACTTTTATTCATCTAGTTTTTTTCCCCGCACTTCAATCCTTTGGAACTCTCTCCCATCTTCATGTTTTCCTGACTCATACAACCTTCAACTTTTCAAGTCTTCTGTCAACCCTTTCCTTGCTCTATAACTCTGTCCTTTTTTTTCCTAGTAACTCCCAACTTTATAGTGGTTGCTTGCAGCCTTGTTGGGAGTGAATGCAAATAAAAAAAAAAAAAAAAAATTAATCTTCACAAATACAAATATTTGTATTTGTATTTTTAAAATGCAAAATGCATATATTTGTATTTGAAAATGTATTTGGAAATCTAGAATTAAGATAATTGTATTTGTATTTGACCACATCCTGGTGCATATGTATAATAATAATAACAGTAATAAAAGTAATAACAATAATAAGAACAATGATCCAATAAAACTATCATGAGGCATTTAAGATAATTCATTTTAACAACTTTACACACACTCATTAGATATTACCAAGTAATTACAACACTTAAAATAATAAAGTTTAAAAAAAAGTTTTATCTGACCTGGTTTAAATCCAAAAGAAACTGAGAGAACTCATTTTCTGCAGGGCAATTATAAATTTCATAATAAACCCACATAGCTATGTCTGAAAAGGTTTTGGTTGCATATTGAGATTCATATGAATCCATAATCACACAAGAAACATTATAAATTTCAGATTTATTATAATTGCAACTAATAGAAGTATAACCATCAGCTAAACTGAGATTAAAATAATCCAATCCAGTGAAATAATTTATTATAAAAGCATCTAACGGATCATATATTTTTGAAAAACAACAATCTAAATAAGAAAAAAAACTATATAGGTAAAAATGAATGTATGTATGTAAATAATGTATGCATGTATGTTTTTATATGTATTATGTATGTAAAATATGTAAGTATGTTTTTATATATGTATAAATGTATGTATATATTTATGTATGAATGTATGTATGTATGTATGTATTTTTGTATGTATGTACTCTCGAGTTCCTAATAAACGTCCCCCCCCCTTCCCTCCGTTAATTAATTTTTGGATATTTTTCTCACCCACCCTAAGCTTATTAAGACCCCTTCTCCCTCGTTTATTAATTTTTACTTGTTGTCAACAAAAAAATTGTCAAAAGTAAAAAAAAAAAATTCAGTTAAAATCGGCCTTAAACTTAATAATTCTCAACAAAGCTTTTGTTTTAAATATAGGATTTAATATGCTGAATATTAGTTTTATACTTAGCAAAGTATAAAACTTATATTGGCATATTAAACCTTATTGAAATTATAATGAAATGAAATTATTAATTTTACATATTTTACATTTTTATTCAGTTAAAGGATTTTTTTATCTTTCTTTAGAGTTTTGTTGATGTTGAGCATGATGTAGATGAGGTTGATGTATGAAGTATTTCTACTTTCTCATAATTTATAACAACAGCTTTATTTTTTTATAAAAGTATAAAGGTTTTATATTTATATTATTCAATTTATTCAAGAATGACAGTAGTGATGGCAATTATCAATTAAGCAACCTAAGTAGTGATGAAAGTAGTGATCTTGATGAAATTGAGGAAGCAATTGTTTCAATAGAAAAGGTTGATGTTAATGTATCAATGTTGGATAAAGAAATTCCAAAGATAAATCCCATACTGCAAGATTGTCAAGCTTCTTGTAGCTATTCTGAGCAGTTCTATGACATCCAAATTGAATAACTATGAGCAGATTTCTACTGAAAAATCTATTGAAAATTTAACTGATACAGTTGTCTGCAAAAGTAAGGGTGATGCTGTTGGTAAATAATTTATTGTTTTGTTATAAACTGTTTAATTATAGATAAATAATTATATATAATTATAGTTAACTTAAAATTCATTTCACTTTTATTTTATTGTATTAACCCTTATATTATACATATAAGGGTTAATACAATAAAATAAAATTTAAAAACTAATTCTAGGAATTACGAAACAAAAAAGTGGTCATAAAATGCACTTTAGTTTGTATTGTAAAAAACTTGTTCGGAACCCTCCTCAACATTTTTTGAATATTCATAAAACAGAAGATGATATTAAGGAAGCTCTATCTTATCCATTGAGAAGTAAAGAAAATTTTCAGGCGTGGAAACTAATTAACAGGCAAGACCATTATGTAATTAATATAAATCTTCTAAAAGCAAATCAAAACAATCATTTTGTTGTAAGGAGTCATCAGCCAAATTAATGGAGCTTGTACCTTGCATAAATTGGCATGGCATGTTAAATGCTAAAACTCTTTGCAAACATACTAAAAACTGTAAAATTTAAGCAAAATTTATGGAAATATCTTCAAATAAAAATTTATCTTCAAGTCAAGCTATGCTTGGTGTTGATGTTGGTGATAAGAAATTTGGTGATGTATTCTTTGTGTTGCCTTGCTCGAATCTTGCAAATATTTCGAAGGAACGATAAGCAAAAAAATGCTGTTGCAAGTTTGTTGGTATTACCTGAAAATTTTTATCTTATTACTTCAGCAGCCAAAATTCTCTCTAAATATAATGGCCCTAGAGATATAGAAAAACCTAATACTTTTCAGACAGGTTTTTGTTTACGCAATCTAGCACTTACTGTCAGAGCACTTGCTTTGAGAGAAAATTGCACTATTAAAGTAGAAAAAATAAGAAACTTTTTAGAGTTATATGATAGTGACTGGCAAGTTATGGTAGGAAATGCAAGGTCAACTTATAAATCTGATAAACCAAATCAGCCTGAAGAACTGCCATTGGAGGGTGACATAATGATTTTAGGAAAACGCATTTTGGATGAAATGAGAGACAGTGTTTATCGCATTAAGTCTTCCAGTTTTTCAAATAAAGATGTAAAACAACTTGCTAAATTAACTTTGACACGAGTACTAACTTTTAATGTTAGGGTATGCTAATGGTAGCGAAGTATCAAAATTGAAACTTTTGCCAAAAAATTGAGGCAAGGTGTTTAGGATGGAAGGTGGAAAAGGCAAACCGATATTGACAACCTTGATGATCCTGTAGAAAAAATTCTTGCCAACCGTATGCAGGTTTGCTATACTGAAGAGAAAAATAAAAAAGGTAAAAGTAAAAATACTTTAGTGCCTAAACTTTTTACAAGCGAAATGATTGATGCTATTAGGTTAATTGTAAAGCATAGGTCATATCTAGATCCTCATGATAATAACCCTTACGTTTTTGCATACAGTGAGTTTTAATTAAAAGGTTGAACTACTCTTCAAAACATAACTAAGAGTGTTTCAAATCTTCAACAGCCAAGACTTTTAACACCTACAAGATCACACAAACTTTTGGCAACTATGATGCAGCTACTAGATATGAACAATACTGAATTATCATGGCTTACAAACCATTTTGGTCATACTAAAGATGTTCACATGAATTGGTATAGAAAGGAAGACGCTACCATAGAGCTAACCTAAGTAACAAAAGTTCTTGTAGCAATTAATGATCGAAAATCTGTTAAGAACAAGAAGATCAACACAGTTCTTGATGAAAATATTGGAGTTTTGGAAAATAACTCTCATGGTGTTAGTGTTCCAATGGGTAAACAGTCAGGTAATAGTAAATGGTAATATTTAACAATAAACAAAATTTTGAATTGTTTTTAAATGATTATATGGCTAAAGAGTTTAAAAATACAAACACTTTATGCAGTAATAATCTGTTTTCTTATTTTATTTGATAAATGTTTTTCTATAGAAAAAAGAAAACAGCACACACTAATTAATAACTGTGAGGACATGTTAAAACCTCATAAAAAGGTATTTATTGATATCGTAACTGGTTTAAATGTAATTTTTTTAAAATATTTTTAAAGTTTGTAAATTTTTAAAATGTTTCAGCTTATTAAAATATGTTTATTAATTTATAGAAAAAGACATGGGAAACATGGACTGAGGAGGAAAATGAAGAAATTAATAAAGCTTTTCATGCTATTTTTTTACAAAAAAAGATACCTCAATTGCATGAGGTGTTGTTTGCAATTAAAAACTTTTCAATATTGGAAAAAAGAGGACATAAAAAAATTAAAGATAAAGTTAAAAACAATATTTTAAGAATGTAAAAAGTAGTTTACTATAGTAATTATACTGTTAAATAAAGATTGCATCTAAAATATTTGAAAGAATTTCACTTAAATAAGCCAAAATAGTTAGTAATTAGTAATAACTTGCTTAAATAATTTCAGTTATCTAAGTTTGGAGAGTTAATTTTTAGATAAACTCCTAGACCAGAGTAATCTATAAGACTAATTTCAAGGCTAGAGTTGTCTATTAAATTTATTTCCAGACTAGAGTTATTTATTAGATTAATTTTATGACTAGAGTTACTTTTTAAATTAATTTCAACACTAGAGTTATTTACTAGAGTTATTTACTAGAGAGTTATTTACTAGATTAATTTCAAGACTAGAGTTATTTATTTTATTAATTTCAGGACTAGAGTTATTTATTAGATTAATTTCAAGACTAGAGTAATTTATTAGATTAATTTCAAGGCTAGAGTTATTTATCAAATTTATCAGATTATATTGAAAATTAGATAATTATTATATAAGGCCCATCAAAAGAATCAGTCTTTCTTGTTTTTGTTTTATTTTAATTATTTATTTGATTACTTCAAAATAAAATAAGTAAAATGAATTGATCATTTAGAATTTTCATTGAAAAAGAATCCTGATACTATCTATTGTCATTATGGTGCATTATTAAAAATGGCAATCTGTATGCATGTCTGCAATTGATTTCCTAACATAACAACTACAAACAAAACATGTTAGAAAAATATACTTTAAATAAGGTAGTTAGAATTTTCACCTCGCAAGTATTTATCTATTGCTATTTATTTTGGTATTTTTACATTTTATGTTAATAAATTTTAAGACCAAATTGTTTTTTTTAAGGGAATTTTCTACATAATTGAGACGCGTATTTTAGAAATGATTTCATTCAGTGAAACTCATTGAAACTCTGATTTTCACCTTTTATATCATAAACTAATAGCTATAAAAAAAGACTCTCAAGTGAGAAGGAACAAAGACAACTTAGAACAAAAAAATGCAATTAGTAAGTTTAATTTAATTTTTAAATAAAGTTGGTTGTTTAACAACGTAAAGTTTTTCCATTGCCCCTAATATTTTGGCATTGTAATTTGCGTTCCTTAATCGCAATATGTATTTAACCAAGTTTCCGGCAGATTTTTTAATAGTTTAATAGTTTTTAATAGTTTGTTCTAAAGTAATAAAACATAAGCATCTGAGCTTAAGGGGCGCCAAGATGAAGAGGGTAAGAGACAGTGTGCACCAAAGGAGTGTCAAAGAAAAAGAAGGTATGTGAAAATATTTTTCACTAATAATATAGGTAAATTTGAAAAAACAGGGTCGCCTTTCAAGGTTCCTATCCTAGGCGGTGTGAAGACTCTTAGCAGATCACAGCTTATTTATCTGATGACAATAGGTGAATAATAAAACTTTAACGTTATCATGCACCATTGAATTTTCTTTGAGAAAGTGATCTAAAAGTTACACTATATTATTAACCACTACTTGTGTTTAATTAACCAAGTAACTGTTAACAGCAGAACATTTAGAAACATTAAACATATTTTAACAAGGTCATTAGTTAATTAAGAACTACCAAAATAAGGTTGAAGACCAGAGACTAAATATCATCAAGTTTTTTTCATTTGACATTCAGGACAATTGCTATGAAAATATTTTTGTTGTTTTTCTAACAAATTGTTTTTAATTTGTAAATTATATTTTGTACGTGTTAGATTACAAT